GAGCATCGGAGTATTGTTGGATTTAAAACCAGACACAATGTCGAGCACTCTATATTTCAATTAATTTTTCTTATTTTTCTTTCACAACCCGAAAGGAAGATGCATTATACGGAACAGAATTAGACACACTTGAGAATCAATCCTCCTTACAAATATGCAATCATCCTTAAAAAAACCAACAACACTTCTTTTAACATCAGTACGGTTGGTTCTGAACATACCAGTTAAAGCACATAAGGCATACAATTTGAAAAAAATATGTACGACCAAAATGCTTTAGCCAATCTACTTTCTTCCACTATTAACCCTTTAGCCTGTTGCATATATTACCCTCACGAGTTCTTGTTCCTTCAGGACCAGTCATATATTTGTCCCTCTCAGGGCACTGGCCACCTCAAATCCAGTCACATACTTTAACCACAATCTAGCTAATTGTCTCTGAAAAATATGACATCCCTTTCGAAAGAAAAATAATTAACTCTGTTTAACCCTGATTTACAAGATGCAGAATGGTTAGAAAACATTGGAGTTATTAATTTGTAACTTTCTGGGAAGCCGATGTTTTTGAGCATTCTGGGGTCTGCTAGGGTTATGATATGGATTATAAAGCGTACAGAGCCTGCTGTTGAGTTGCTATACAAATACTATTTATTATGATTATCATTATTATTATCAATATTATACATTTTTTTAGCGTGATACTAAAGATAAGCACAATTGCCGAGAAAAATGACTATGTAATTAAACAGGTGTGGGGACATTAGAGTATGAAATAGAAAAATACAAGCTCAGAGATGTTGTGATGTACATCACAAGTAAGGAAAGTAGAACCACCTCAAAATAACAACAACAGGGACATTTGTTTAGTTTCTAAGAGGCACACAAGAGTCTGGAACACATTTCAGGGGATACCATGGATTGACCATGATGACAGACTGGCCCAAAACAGAGATTTTTTCCTCCCAAGGGAGATTATGACTGATGACAGGTTATTCCTAAAGAGAGATAATTCCTGATGACCAAATTATCCCTAATGAGAGACTGATGAGAATCTGATGAGACCGGGTCCCTGAAGAGCAACATTCCCAAAGAGAGACTATCCTTGAAGGAGGATTATCTCTGTAAAAATAGGTCCTTGCAAAGAGCTAGATTTCTGGGTATTATAAACGAAGGCTGAACATGAGCACTGACGCAAAAGAGCAATATGAAGCACACACATACAATGCTGAGGTCCACTGGGGAAGACAAACTAATCTTGTGCTGAAAATAAAACATATAAACAGAAAAAAAAGAGGAAAAATTGTTCAACCACCCTCTACCCTCTCACACCTAAGATACCTTTTTGGTATTGTAACATTAGTAGTCCCGAGCAGAAAGAATTAAAAATTTCACAAGGATGCAATATTTGAACCACTAGAAATAAAATCGTGAATGAATAAAGAAAGAGATGAAGATATCCTCAGTGAGTAGTCTACACCAAGAGCAAAGCGATATGGCAGTGCTAATCCCTACGGTACCGGCGATCACGGCCTGCACTGTTTTGGAACCTAGTTTAAGTCTAATGTAAAACTGTAAACTGTTGATGATTTAGGCCCTCAACAACACAATTTAGATTATTTAGAAGGCGGGCTGCTTCTACCATGCCTGTCAGGGTCACCCCCAGCTGACAAAGATGCAATTTCCCAGCAGACAAATGGAGCTCCTGGGTGTAAAAAAACCCAACCTCCCAACACTAGAACTGAACTCACGTCTTCAGCCTAGCAAAGCATCTAATACACCAAAGACACCACTGACATTGCTTAGCAAAACCTTCATATTCAAACAACAATAGATGACAAGCAATTATGTCTTCAACATTAGTGACAAAGACATTATATTTTATGAACAAAGTAAGACTCATACACTCGTTAATATTTTGCAAATTCAAACCAGAGAAAACAAACCACGACTGCACCTTGCTGTGACAAGGAAAATTATCTCAAGGAATAACAAACAACAACAAAAATGCCAGAAACTAGACCACCAAGCTCCCTTAAAACCACTCCCATCCTTCCTTCAGATTAAAAAAAACAAACTATAACCCCCCCCCCCTCTCCCTCAGCAAACTACACACCTACATCCTTTCAGCTATTTAAAGAGGTAAACATTTCAGGGACCCCAAAACTCATTGCAAAAATCCTATGAAGAGTAATAAAATAGTATATACAAAAGAAAAATCCAACCAGAAAATAAAATTTAGAATTCGGCTATAACCACTACAGACATTTCTAGGCTTTTCCTTATCCCTGAAAAGAAAAATCATAATCACTTTCAAGCCAAGGACCTAAACCACTTTTTCATCCCAACAAAATTTTGAGGTAAGAGAAAAAGTAATCTTACGGAAACTGAAAGTACAAAATGCTGAGTGCTCTATAATCATATTCAAACAAAAGCACACAGATTCAAAAAGTAGTTCTGACCAAAAATGTGTATACTCCAGACCCTTTGGTCCAAAAGACATGAAAAGAATTTGAGCAAGGTATGTCTTCGCCTTAAACCACATACAGTTGAACCTGCTCTAACGGCCTTTGTCCAAGACTGTCACCAGCACAACTGTACAAATAACCACTCCCCACACTCTCCCCCAACCCTCCCCTTGCGTTTGAAAAAATATAACAACAGTCCAAGATATTCGCCTGATTCAGAAAACCTATTTTTTTCTTGACAATGGGTTGTTGCCTCGGACAAATTGAGTATATATGCAATTCATGGATACGGATAAACTATCTAAATATGGGGTGAGCAAAAATCTTTAGTGAAAGAGCATACAAGTAAGTAAGTTTTCCATTAAAAAAAAAAATCCACAGCAACCATAGCAATTTCATATTCAAGCATTATCACCAAATGTGTTTCAACAAAATTATTGTAGACATTAGAGAACAAAGATACATTTCAGTATGGGTATTTTTGCACCCTGTTCTGCCTTTGTTTATATGAAGCTTCTCAGCAGTAGATAGAAACCTAAAAAATCAATTTTTGTCTGAAAAGCTATCCATTCCTTTAAAGACTCTAGCTGATGTCAAGAATCAAATAGGCCTAAATAATAAAATAATGAGAGTCCATTAGTCTTAGGAAGAATTTGCATTCCAGAGAGCTAAAAAGCTAAACCTTCAATTCTTGAGAGCTAAAGATATAAAAAATATTGGTGTCTTCTCTTTCTGTAGAAGATTCGCAAACGAACCAAGAGCTGAGGATCAGCTAGACAGGTCTTACAAGTAACACTTACACTGCAGAAAATAAAACACCGTTTGATGTGAACATAACAGTAACATATCTTTTATCTTATTGTGATTTATTTATGTCTTCTGTGTCCAGTTAGAAGAAATAGCATGCTTATATATTTTGCAAGAAATCTCAAAGAGCTTGGTTTATATTTAAAATTATTTTTAAAAAAACATTTCTCTATGTTTGATTTTAAAAAAAAAACTAAGATAAAAAAAAAGAACGACATTTCTCTTTTCAGCATAACACAGGAAAATATAAAAAAGAGAAAATCTGTGATTATGAACCTTGCAGTAATAATAATATGCAGATTCTCTTTAAGTTTGTGGGGAGCAGGGAGCTATAAACCAGCATGAGGACCTGAGAAAATTGCACACATATTTGGTCACTTTTAAGGACGAGCAGGCTAACAAAGATTTTGGGGGTTTCCAAAAATCTTGCCCTGCATCAAAAGTGGGCATTACCCTATCTATAGGAGAAGTTTGGTTTTTTAGTTTTCTCTAGTTTTAGTTTTAGAAGAGGTCTTACTGCGCTTGCAACTGCATAAGGTCATATGAGCGCCAAGGGTTATGCGTCAACAGAGACGTCCTTACAGGGAATCAGACTTACTCTGCTCACCTCTCTAGCCTCAACAGCACAAAGTCTGCTTCGACTATCAAGGCACCCCGGAAATAGCAGGTCACAAGAGTGTGACAAACATACAAAAGAAGTAGAGGAAAAATGACGATATTAAGGACCAGGAAAGGAAAAGCAGCAGTTCCCTGTTGCAGTACAGGCACAGTTATGACCATGACATTGATGAATCAGCCCATTTACAATTCTACTGTGCGTAAGAACAGGTTAATGTTCCCCCTTTGGAAATGGCCAAAAGATACTTCAGTCAGTAGCACTGCCCCAGGGGGTTCAAAGTTTGGTTTCATTGGTGTGTATGATTGGTTATAGAGAAAACTCTCTTTGTCTTTTAAAGAAACTGAACAAGGGTCCAAAAACTTTACCTTCGATTTTCTCAATACAGTATTTTTTGGGATAGCCCCCTTGTACTTAAAAGCGACCATTTTTAACACCATACTTGAATAAAGGCCTTAGTCAGACTTAAACCAGATTCAAACTGACTTGTTGTGGCATCCCCTACCCGACAGCCCATCTTTATGGCTTAAGACAATCTATTTTGTTTGTTTGAGTAGAGAGAAGCACATTGACACTATAACACAGACCTGTCAACTACTCCAAGAACAAAAAAGAGGAGTTTTCCTCAGGATCCTCCCCAAAAATATGAGCTTTACAAAAAAATCAAGCCCCCAGAACATCAGTAGATTAAGATTACACAAACAAACAGTGGAAAATAAACATGTATAGCAATTACATGCAAATAAAAATGTGTTCCATCACGTTATTTACCATAAGCCACACAAATATTGCAAATAAACGAGAATAAAATGTGCATTTTCGCATCAATTACGACAAGTCGCATACAAACTCATGATGGGACATGGAATTCAAGAAAAATTACAGATTTTATACGAATTCGATCAGTTATTTGACAGGCATAAAAATAATAATAATCAGAGAGGTCTGATTTTATTGGAGTACTTGGCAGGTCTGCAGCATAATGGTTATGCAGTGCAGGAAAAAAGCAAGACAAACAGAAACAACCGAGGGAGAGGAAAGAAGTAGGGGCATTACAGTTGACCACCACCCACAAAAGGCATAAATGCACCCAAAAAAACATCTTTTTTTTATTTTTAGATTTCAACAAAACCATGATGACTTACGTTGACCTGTATCATGGCACACTGACCATAAGTTCTATGCGAATCATATTTTTAAAATGCATCAACAAAGTTAAGAAAGAAAAGACTAAAACATGATAAACTCTTTTTTGATTATGAGAGTCATAAAATATTCTTTTTTAACCCGTCCAGCTGAATCTTTTCTGAAACAGAGAGAAAGAAATTCAAAAACGTTTCTTTTCAACATCAGCAAAGTTTTTCATATGTTCATAAAAAATGGTAATACTGTAGCATTATTTGCAAAATGTTACCATTAGAAAGCGTAGACAACAAAATTTAATTTAATAATATTCACTTCGTAGTTCGTCAAAGTTACCCGCAGGAATACAATAGACTGTTAAAAAATTAATTTGAATATTAGTTGAGGCCAAAACAGGAAACAAATAAAATGTAATGCACATTTCGTAAACACTGGCCGTATATATAACACTCATAAACACTGGCCGTATATATAACACAAAATGCATGACAAAAACCGCCCAAAAACACCTTTCCAAACTCTCTACCATTCTTAAAATCTCCACATTTCCATCAAAGTTTGCAAAGAGAAACTTCACAGAAGAACAACATTTTGACTTGGGCTCAACACAAGAGTAAAAAATAATGAAGCCCCCAGCTCCTGTCGGGCATTACTTTCTAAAGCTGACACATGAGACAAAAAGAACATACCGGGATAGGATCAACGGGTTCACATACAAAAACACTCCTTCCCCACACCCTCCCTCATTCTGTCTATCCCACTTCACAGCACTGGGCTGACGAGCAGATGCTTGCATGTGACAGGATCAACAATTAGAACAAACCACTTAAAAGCATCCAGTCCAACAAACCAGACCCATCACATTCTAGACACACTTGCCAAGAAGTACCCTGAGGTTTAAAAAAAATTCTTTTAAGCATCTCTACATCAAGGTGACAAGTTCCGTAAATTATTCTGGTCAAAGTGATATGTTCATAAATCATTCATATAAAACAATAGGACTAGATCTAGTGGGAAACATCATGTTTATGTGGGAAACAATATCAAAGCAAAAACAAAGTGCACGCGGGAAGCCTGAAAAATACAGACATTTGAATGTGATGACTAGATTGTCTCTATGTATCTCATTATGTCATCACTCGGTCATCGCACGGGAACAGTTTTAACACAGAAGAATATTGTTCAACCCAGTCAAGAATTCATTGGGGACAAAACTGAAAATTGAAATACATGGATAATTACAGAGACATCTTAAAACTCAACAAAATGCCTTAACAACTAAAAAGTGCACAAGCAAGCCTATGCTTAGCACTAAGATATGACCAAGCCACATCTGCTTCAAGCTTATGCCTATTCCGATTGCACCCAATCTCAAGTGAGCAGATGCTTCCACCAGACTGGGGTAGAATTATAAAATGAAGATCCTTTTGTCACAATATTAGATAGCAGTATTATAAACAAAGGACAATTATACGCTACGAACAACCAAAGACTTCAAGAATAGTAGGCTTGAATACATTTTGAGACTATGAAAGAACATGACAAACTTGTGAAGAATATATGTGTTACAACCACGACGAAACAATATTTCAGAAGAATGGCAGAATCGTCACCTCAAAGTTTCAGGAAAATTCTGGATTTTGACATTTTAATAAAAATATCACGTTACATAAATGGATGTCCACACATTACTTAAGTAACATCTGTTGTGCATTATGCCTGTCATCATACATACATAATATCACTGTGCATTTCACCTGTCAGCATGGTCAGCTGCGTTGTTATTATGCTAGACTACAATAAGCGGACAGACGTTCAAATCCCCAACAAGGGGTTTTCAACTTGCGCTGTTTTGGGGAGTTTTTATGGCTCTCCACCCACTTTGTCTGGTCCTATCGGAGATGGGCATCAAATTCAGAGATCCCGTCTCTCCAATAATCTTCGTGTTAAAAGGGGCATTAAACCTGTACAATGACCAGCGACCCCTGCCAGCCATCTCTCTCTGCGAAAACATGAAAAAATTTCCTTTGAGACTAGGTGTATTATACACAAATCTTCTGACGTAAGTGCTGCGAGAAAGGTCATACTTCAAGAAGCCGTCTTATAGACCCAGGCAGTCACAGTAGTCTTACGTAAGAATCCCCATCTGCCATCATAGATGACAAATATCAGTCTGAACCAACATGAAGATTCTCTCACTAACTGAAACCCATCGGCTTTAATTGTCACCACTGGAGAGAACATAATCAATTTCTTAGAGGAGCTTGGATGACCTATGCTCTTGGGTGTAATTTGGTGATTTGTCACTGTTTTAGGCCCCCCTTGGCACAAGTTAGACCATTCATGAAGCAGGCTACTTCAACGCTGTCTGTCAGAGTCAACTCATGTTAAAAGGGATAAAACATCCTAGTAGACATACAGATAAAAATAATAGTTCATCTATCAATTCCCGTCAATAACAAAGCAGAGAGAGCTAACCAATAAAATGACTCCACTTGGGAGTCACAATCATTCCTCAGCATGTAAGAGCAAAGAGATGTACATTCAAACCAGCTCAAGATAATCACTTGTGCATACAACCAATTTCTACGTCCTTTCTTTTATGTTTTTATTATAATGACACAGTTCAAACCGCCCACCTAAGACAACCATTTTCTTCCTCAACAATGGGTGGCTGTCTTGAACAATTTTAACTGTATCATTACAAAACAGATGCTAATGGTATTATTCAACTTGAATCAGAATTAACCCTGTCATATACAAAGCACTACTAGTGAAACAAATATTTCTGCTTCAGATGGTACAACTGACTTGAGCCATGTAATGAGCGCTGTAAGCCAGACAGGGACAAGCACTAAATAAATTAAATTCATCATATATAACCGGAAAAAGGATTTGCCTCATGAAAGGTTCGGTGGTAATAAAAATGAAAAGCGAGTGGTTAACCTGAATACTAAAAGAATACATTCACTTCACTGTGAACATTCTAATTCTGTCAGTCAAAATGCAAATGTGTGTTCAAATAATGAGGCACACATTTATTGGCAGTTTGAAAGTAGAAACACAAATTCTACTCCTATGGGTACCACACTAATCCTTTTTTTTTTCACAGTATCAATTTGGCACAGAAAATATGTGTACAAGTACAAAGAATGTTCCTGTACGACATAAAAGTTTGAACTGATAATATTACCTGCTTATACAGTTGGATTTCAGATGCACCTTTGGGGGAGGGAGGGGGGGATGTGTTTGTGTGTTCTAACATAGGAACATAAGGGGGAAAAATACGATATAACAAGACTGACAACAATAACTTTTGAGTGACAATAGTCTTGAATAAGGGAACATCTTGACACATTCAGGACACTTCCCAGTATTGAAAACCCCTCCACATTTGACCCGTTTCCATAACAACGCTACAGATCTCATTTCCTACTTCCAGCAATCTTGAGGCAGTTTAGTAACAAGAGTATTTCCTTTAATATTACATAACACCAAATCTCAACTGGTACTGAAGTCCTCAGGAACAAAGAAAGCCTTTCACGCGACTGTATCCTGCACACCCTCCACAGCCGATGGAGCTGAGTTATTCATCAAAGTCTCTTCCTGCCTGGCCTGTTCTGTTGCTGGCTCATCTGTGGTGGTTACAAATATTCTTACAATTTTATATGAATTTTTTTAAAGAGCGAAGGGCAAATATATGTGGCATGATTAATGCTGATGATGGTTCCTTTGTTGTTTCACAAATATTTCAAGTATTTTAAAATGAATGTCCAACAAAGAAAGAGATGTATATATGATACAACACATTTGTTTATCTGCTGTAATGCAAACATTTTAAGAATTTTGTATGATTTTTTTATATATAAGGAAAGGCTATTTTGGATTCAATTTATGCTGATAGCTGTTATATAGAATCCTAATGATAAGGAGTAACAGCTAAGAGAGAAACCAGGATCCACAAAACATACATACACATCAAGTCATCACCCCCCCCCCCTCTCTGTCTATATTTTCCTCTTCCTCTCACTAATTCACTAACCCTTCCACTCAAAACTAATACATGACATGGTATCTATGGCCAAACACAGACACTGGTGACCATTGTGCTCTAGACATCTCAGCCTCAAAAACCCTGTTAAAATTTCATTGTCAAAGAGGTTGATCTTTACAGGCCAAAAATGCAGGTTTTGTTTAAGTCAAAGAGCAGCTCACCAACACAATAACTTTCATTTAGTGCTTTAAAAAAAAGCAAGACATAGAGGCAGAAACAAAAGAGGGAGGATAACAAAGTAAGAACTACCATTGGCACCCTCCAACTAACTGCTTAATATATGGCCAATCTTCTGAGGCAGAAAAGCCACCAAAAAACAACTCACCCCCTTCCGCTGACCCACGGCCTGCAGGTGAGTGGGACTTGAACACGAACAAATTGAGAATGACGTAGATGACCAGAAGGACAACACAGGTTATGGAGAAGGTCCTCCATGTCCACCTTGGTCCAATGTTCTCAAACATGTAGCCCGTGATGAGGCTCCCGATACCTTTGCCTGCACACAGAGGAAATGACGTTTAGCTTGAGTAAAGAGAAGCACACCAACATGATAACAATCATCTAGGGCACAGAAAAAGCAAGACAGAAACATCAGAGGGAAAACAAAAGTAGGGCCTGCCAGTTGTATCCTTCAACCATCTGCCGAGAAAAAGTTCATGATTTTCCCCTCTCGCTTCTTGATGAATCGACTGACCTTTTCCTCTTTCTTTCCTTCTCACACCCACCAATACTGATACATTAAATGAACACACAACATACCCATACAAATTTTCCACTGTGCCAAAGCTGTAGTAAATAGAACTCTAAACAATAAAAATAACCAGTAAAAACAAAAACCATTAAAAAAAACCAAACTTGCAGATCTATCTAGACAGAATACTTAAACATGTCCCACACTTAAGAAAATTCTTTTTTTTTTTTGTAAGTGTTTTACGGCGCTCGCAACTGCATAAGGTCATATGAGCACGCGGGACACATTAAACTTTTTCAGTTGGTAGGAAATTTTGAATATAGCCCGGGTGGCGGCCGAAGCCCACTTTTATCGATTTTAGACCATCAAGGGATCTTATCATCTTAAACGTGCGCAACTTGCACACGGGCCCTCCGAGATTTTTCGCCCTTGTCCAGTCAGTAGTATAAGGTTTTACGGCGCTCGCAACTGCTAAGGTCATATGAGCGCGCGAAACACAAGTTGTTCACCTCTG